GCTCTCTCTTCTCCCCAAGCCTGTGTGGGGACCCTCTTAGTGACCCAACCCCAGCCAGTGCTGCCTGCATCCTTACCCTGATGACTGATCCAGGTTTGTTGCTAAGGACCCCTTTCCCACTTTCTCCATTCTGTGTGGCAGTTTCCTCTCTGTGGCAAAGCAGCGACCTGAAGGATTATGGGTGTGTGATGTGTTTAGGAGGCAATGAGGGATGCAGCGGTGGGGTTCTAATCAGTGTGATAGTTGCTAAGTTCAACAGGGCTGTGATTGGCTGACTCTGTCTATGGGTCCACCCTGTCCCAGAACCCTCTGGGGACGGAGCTGTTGCCCACTCTGAGGTCCAGAGTGGCTGCTCATGGCGGGTGTGACAGTGAGGAGAGGGATGATGCTTGGTGCCGTGACCAATTACGGGGAAACAATGGCCTGGGTTTATTCAGAAGAGGAGTAAGAATTGGCTGAGCCCAGCCAAGTCCCGTTGACCCTACTGACTCTTATACCCTAGGGAGCCAGGCCGCAGGTCAGTCCATGGGCTCAGGTCTCAGCTGCCATCCTCCTTCCTCCCTGCCAAGGACACAACTGCCCTGGGGAGAGTTTCACTCCCTTCTTACTTAGTTTCCCATTTCTCTAGTCCTTACTTATCTCCTAGAATCAACTTGTACACAGAACCCTGAGACAGGCCCTGTGGCTGAATGCCAAGGATCACAGACCCATGCATATCTTTTTACAATTTATAAAGCAGTTGCATATTCACAAGCTCATGTAGCTTTCCTGAGAGGAAGGTGTTCACATTATTCCCATTTTGCAGAGGGAGAAAACGGAGGCCCAGATAAACTGAGGCCCCTAGGAGCAGAGTCAGGTCTGGGGTCTTGCCAGGGTCCCTGCAGGGTAGGGCCAGAAAGGTGGGGAGCCCTTGGCGACATGCAGACAGGAGATCTCTGTTTGATGAACTCTCCCTGTCTGGATGTTGAGCTTCCCAGGGGAACGCGGGGTGGGCTTGAACTTTGGTTTTTCAGAAGCCATGCCAATACACCACCCACACAGTCTGTGAGGGAGAGCCATTTCCAGCTTCTCCACTCAGCCCTCAGGCACCCAGGGACGCATGTCCTATCTGCAGAGCAGTGGCATCAGGGAGGAGAGACAAGGCCAGCAGGGAGGAGAGACAAGGCCAGAGTGGGGAAGTGGGCTGGACTGCTGCTGGGCCCCTGTTGCCATGAGGCTCAGGCCCGCCTGCTCCCTGCTGCGAGGGGACCAAGGCCTGCCAGGGTGCCACGGACCCTTAGGCTAGCAGAAGGGAGGGGCCCCAAGAGCCATGGTTCCAGGGGAACCTCCAGCTCAGAGTTTCTTGTCTGACCGTGACAGGAGGCAGTTACTGGGCTGCAGAGAAGGGAAAGGGCGTGGATTGGGCACCAAGCGTACATCCCACTGAAAACTCACAGCAGCCCCATGAGAACGGGACTAATACCATCTCTGTGTTACAGGTGGGAAACCAGAGATGTGAGTAACCTCCCAAGGTCACACAGTGTACGTGGCTTCAAAGCCCAAGGTCTTGCTTGGTGGGACAGCAGGACAGGAGTCCCTCCTTAGCGGAGGAGCCAGGTAGTGCTGCATCTACTGAGCTGGGCTTGTTAACAGAAGTGTGTGTGTGTGTGTGTGTGTGTGTGTGTGTCGCGGGGGAATTGGCATGGGAGAAGAGTGGGGACACCAAAGGGTTTCGAGGGAATTTTCAGAAGGGCGCAGACAGGGAGCAGAAAAATTAGGATGGCTAAAACTTTGCACACATACAGGTTCCCTACCCAGGTAGTAAGCTCCGCCCACCTGCCCAAAGTCACTCTTACCTGGTTCTCCTTTCTACCTGCCCATCTGTTCATGCCCTGCCCTGAGCCTGCCAAAGTTTCACCTGCTATTTTCTGAGCCCCATCTATACTCAATTCTGCAGCCCATCCCCCTTACAAGGAGGAAGGAGCAAGATAATGCCTTTAAAATTTAAGATTTTGGAGATTCTGAAACACAGTCCTGCGATAGGAGTGGGGCGTGATGTGACAGTCTCTGAGCAAATGGTTGGCCCAACATTGTTTAAGGTGTCACCTCTCCTCTGTGAAACTATCCCTGCTTCTCTTGGGCACAGTTAAGGGATTCTTCCTCTGCCCCAGTCCCCATTACCTTGTGTATGTGTCCGTTCCTCTGCATGTCCCTCTCCCGCTGGATGGTGACCTGCTTGAGAATCATCCCTATACCTCAAGGATCCAGTACAGTTCCCGGCACATAGCGTTCAATAAATATTTGTTGAATGGGAGGACAGTTGTAATTATACCTATTATTTATTGAATTCCTACGATGCGCCAAGTCTTATGCTTTGGTTTACATTATTTTTAATATGCACAGCAACTACACAAGGTCAACTTTAGTATCTTTGTTTTATAAATGGCAAAACTAGGCTCAGAAAAGATAAGTCACTTGTCCAAGGCCACACAGCCAATACCAGGAGGTTCTGGGAATCAAGGCATCCCTACGAAGCTCCCAGCCTGGCCTATCACACTAGCAGTTCCAACCCTGACATCCTTCACTCCCTTATCTTCTAGGCTCAAATAAGCACAAAGTTCTGTGACCCTGTTTCTAACTATGCTTCATGTAAGTTTCCTCTTCTCTCCTCTGGCCACTGCTGTAGTCTAAGCCTAGAATTTATTTTTCACTAACATTCACCTGCAAATTGGGGTTCTCATTGCTAGATTTACTCCACCGTCGGTCCATCACTTAGCTGCCAGAGAGCTCATCCTAAATCACAGATAGGTGATGTCTCTTTCCTCTGAAATGCTCCATGTGGCCATGTGTTTTCAGGTAGGGTCCTCGTTCTTAGCCACGTTATAGTAGAAGGGTCTTCAGAACCCAGCACCTGCCTCTCTCTATGGCATCACCTCCAGCCCCACCTACTCTAAGCTCTGGCCTCGCAGAACTGTGCAGCCATAGTCTCTCACCCCTGCATGTTGCACATGGTGTTAGCCCTCCTGGAAAAACAAAACACTCCTCCGTAGCTCTCTCATCCAGAGATCCTCAGCTCAAGCAGCAGAGTGACCACTCCAGGCAGCCGCTGCTCTAACCTCAGTCCTACATCATCATAACTGTTTACTTTGCTGCACCATTAGGCGGTGAGCTCCCAGAAACTTTGTACCCAGAAGGTTGTGTATTGTTTGACATACAAGAGAAGTTCAGAAACCTCTTTACCTCATCCATCTCTCAGGTTCCTTGAAACTTTACCCTTTGGCTCCATTCTCTCTAATTGTCTAAAACACAGTTCCTCTCCCATCTACCCTTTCGACCACTTCCCTGCCTTTGCACAGCCTACTCGCCCCCCAGTGTTCTTATCGTAGACATGGATTATGGAACAGGCAGCTTGCTTTCTCTTCCCAAAGCCTGGAAGTTCTGGATCCATCCCTCATGGCACCCCTCCAACACTCAGCAGCTTTATTTTATAAAGGGTTGTGTGCCCAGGAAATCTATGTGTCCTGGCAGAGAACACAGAGGCAGCAAAGAGTTGGAAGGCCCTTTGAAGGGTGCCCCTGCGGACTACCCACGGGACACGGTCCTGCAGGCCCCAGTTACTCCCTTCTTTCTGCCATGCCCATCCCCTGTGCGGTCTAGAGAGATGCTGCATGCTGATGTTGGAAGGCAGACGGCTGACCTGAGGGTGAGACCTCAGGCCTATGACTTCTAGAAAGGAAATTGTTCTGCTCTGAACAACTCCTTCTCCCCAGGGAAAGGCCCCCGGCTCCAAGACTAGGACCTAAAGGGTGTTGGTCACTTCAGATCAGTCCGAGGAAAGGGTTCAGGCAGAAACACGTCCACGCTGTGTGCCGCCCCCCCCCCTCAAGAGACTCCCCCGCTGCCAGGGCTCCCAAACTGAAGAGGCCGTGCCCACTGGCAGGCCAGAGGAAGCAGACCTCCTTGATTTGGTGCCCATCAGATCTGAGGCACCAGTCCACCTCCTCACAGTCCTCAGGAGCAAGCAGGTGGGAGGGCCCAGAAGGGGCCACTGTGCCGTCATCCCACCCATTTTCCTCTGGCCCTGACGCCCGATGGTGTGGGCAGCGTGGGCATCGGCCTTAGTCCTAACCGCGGCTTGTCACTAACTCCTCGTCGGGCCAGTTCAACTTCCTTTCTGGGCCTAGTTAGTCTGTAAATCTTCCTGGATAAATCTCCATTGGCCTGCAGGATTTAATTCGAGGACAAACTGAATTAGCCTTCAGGGTAGGAGGTGGGAGTGATGGCTTTTGGTGGGGCTCATTCAGGCCCTAGAGAGAGGTGTGGCCAGCCAGGTGGGAGCTTTGTACCTAAAGGTAAGTGACAAGTCCCACTGGATAGGGCAGGGGACAAGCTCTAACAGCTGCCGTTTTCAACAACTTTAAAAGTGAAAATGACCAACAGGACCTGTCTGTGCACATTAGCTTGTTGTGTGCCAGGTGCGGGGATGGGGGTCAGACTCGGAAGGTGGGAAAGGGACATTTGGAGACAGGCTCTCTCAGCAAATCATCCCCAGGGCCCTGGCCCCAGTCCCGGGGTACTCCAGTCCCGGGGTACTCCAGTCCGATGGCCTCACCCCTTAGTCAAGGCTCTCAGGGTCAGCCCTGGGACCAAAGCCGGAAGTGGTGCTTGGCCCAGGGTTCTCAGAGTGGGAGAAAGGGGTGGGCACCCAGGCAGAGGCAGCCACGCAGATTGGCAGCAGCAGTGGGCAGCTCGGGAGGGACGGGGAGGAGTCAACTTGTACACGTGAAAAACTCCAGCGGGGCCGGGCTTTCCCCTTCCTCCTCCTCCTCCTCCTCCTCCCCCTCCCTCCTCTTCCCCACCTTCCTCCACCCCACCCCTTCTCCCTCCTCCCCCTCCTCCTCCTCCTCCACCTCCTCCTCCTTAAGCTCAGGTTGCAGCTTCTCTGAGGAGCCGCTCACCTTTCGGGAACAGGGAAAGCAGCTCCGAGCCGGGCAGGGACCCCGGCGGGACGCGGGGCACGGCGCCCGGCACCGCGGCCCCTGCACGCGCGCGGTGAGTCCTGCTGGCTGGGACCAGGGCGCGGCGGGGGGTTGGAGCTGGGGGCACCGTGGCGCGGGCAAAACGGAGCAAAGGTAACCCGGCGGCTCTTAAAGGCGCCGCTGCGTTTGCCGGGCGTGGGGGGTGGGTGGCGAGGGGTTGGAAGAGACTGCAACAGCGGTGTGGGAGATCGGGAATCGCGAGGCGTGCTGGGGGGTGATGCCCTTGCAGAGGCCACTCCCAGGTCCCAGGTGCTTACGAGGGATGGCGATTTTGCATTCTCAGACCCCCGCTCCCCCCAGGGAGTCTCCATCCGGACTCCTTTGGGCCCCCGGTCTGAACCCTGGGAAGCAAAGTTTTCCACTCAGTGACGAGCCTGGCGCTTTCTAAGCGCCCTTCCTTCTGGGAAGGGCAAGGGTCAGGAGTGTCCGGCGAGGAGGGGATCCGCGAGGGTGGGGCCAGGTCGCTGCCTCGAAGGGCTTTCCAGGGCTTTCCGGGCTCTGTTGAACTTTCCAGAGCCCCAGGCTAGGGGTGGGAGGCCAGAGCCCTGGGGTGAAAGTGGAAGGACACCCATGGAGCCCTGCAGGTACCAGCCTAGGAGGCGGTGGTGGTTGGGAGGTGGAGTGCTGGCGTTTGGGGACCGCTGCCTCTTCTCTCTCTGCCCTCCCAGGAACCCAGAGGGGCAGTGGCCCCCACCCCAGCTACCGGCAAAGGGTTAATGCAGCCCAGGGAAAGGGTGGGCTGACTGTTGGACTAAGGAGATGGGGCTTAAGGATCCTCTGGGGGCGAGAGGTGATCAGATGTGGAGGACTGCGCAGGCCTTGCCGTGGGAGTGGGGCTGTTGAGACAGTGACCGATTCCCTGTGCTGCGAGGTCAGCGTCCTGCTAGGCACCAGTGGCCTCTTTCTAATTCTCTCTGAGCCCCTGCCCAAGGCAGGGGTGAGAGCGCGGGGCCAGTGAGGAGTGGGGGTCAGCTCCTTAGATCCTCATCCCCACCCCCAGCGCAGCCGTCAGGAGTTCCCCAACTGTGGCCTGGGCCCTGGCTGACTCACTGACACCGCTGGCTTGCCCCTCCTGTGTCAGCGTCCTGTGAGATTCTGCCTGCTCGTGTGGCGTTTTCCACTGGGGTTGGGCACACAGCACATTCCTGGACACTGGTCTGCGCGAGCAGAGTCCTCGAGAACGCCAGGGAAGTCTGGCCGACAGGTGTCCTAGTCCTCAGAGGTTCCCCAGCTTTAGCCTGGCCTTGGTGGGGGGCTGACACAACAGTGGCTGTGGGGTAGGGGAAGGCGAGGACGGCTCCAGGCAACGCTGGCTCCTGGGTTTGGGTGGCAACGCTGGCTCCTGGGTTTGGGTCTGCGCCCTGAAGGCACGCTGAAGAGAGGGTCGCCTGGCCACAGCCGAGCTATGGTCTAGGGTTACCCTGCCCCAGCCGCGTCCTGTGTAGCTGGTGAGGCTGTGAGGCTGAACTGCCCCCACCCCCGCAACCTCACTGCCCATTAGGTTCCTGGGAGTCTTCCTGCCCGCTGCCCACACCCCTCCAGGAGAATGGGGCCTTTATTCTCCCGAAACTTACTGGGGTTTCCAGAGCCAGAGTAGGCTTCAGTAAGTTACATCCAATTTCTGAATGCCTTAGTGGCTACCATTTACCGAGTATCTCCTGGGTGCCAGCAGTGTGTCCCTGAGCTTTATGAAGTAGGTGTCTTTATCCCCATGTTACAGGTGATGAGACAGATGCTCTGAGACACCAGCTTTCCCACAGTCACACAGAGGTGGGATCCAGCCCACTCCATCAGACCCCCGCCCCCTGCTCTCAGTCCCTGCCCCATCAAAGGAGATCCCAGCGCACTCCGGAGTTCCCTGGTTCCGCCTCAGCCCTCAGGAGAAGGACGGATGGGGGTGGTGCTCCAAGTAAGAGGCTTCCGTTTGTCCTGTGCTGGGCACAGCCAGTCTCTCCATGGGTCACAGGAGAGGGCACCTGGTCTGAGATCTCCTGAGATCTGCTTGCCTTGTTTGGAAGCCTCCTCTGAGGCCTCGAGGACATGGAGCTGCCTTTATGGCTGCATTTGCTTTCTGTCCAGAGCCAGACTCTGTCCTCCGCCTGTGCCCAGGTGCACAGGCCCCGTACTGTGGGGCGGAGCCTGGCTTGGCTCCTCCCAGCTCCTACCCCAACCTGGCCCCTCCTTCCTCCGGGGACACCCCATTTTGGACTTTCGTCCAGCATCTCTATCTATCCCTCCCCCAAGTCCTTCTTTCCTTCTCTGAATTGAAGGCCTGCGGGGAGGGCTTTGGTGAAGCCCACCTCCAGCACACACTAGCTCTGTGACTACTCTCTCCCCAGCAACCCCCTGAGCTTCTCCCAGCCTCAGTTTCTTCATCTGTGAAATGAGGATCATAATAGGGAGCGTTGTTATGTGAATTAAATGAAATAGCACATAGCACCTGACATGTAGCAGATGCTAAACCACCAGTAACTGCGCTGCTGGTGGCTTTTTGGAAAGGGATTTCGTAGTTATGGCATTGTGCCTGGCTCTGGGGGAGAGACCGAGGCGGGTTTTCCTAATCCCATCAGGGCCAGGCTCTTAGACAGTGTCTTTCCTGCTCCTCCAGGTTGGGGAGGGGGACTCTGTATAAGGGAATGAGGGATGGTGTACAGGGTGGATGGGAACCTGCCAGAGGGAACCAGGAATCTGTGCTGTGGGGACCCTCCCCTCCAGTGTCTAGGATGAGTGAAGGAGGCACCGGGAGCTGGAAAACCTATGGCCTCCTCCTCTGAGTGGCCTATGGCAGGGCTTTCTTTCCCTGGAGTGAGAAGTCCTCCCTCTTCCAGTACTTAATGAATTGCAGTCCCTGCCATAACCCCTCTCTCCCCCACCCTGGACCCTTCACCTTTGCCCTCCTGGCATTAGCTGCTGAGTGGGCACTTTCCTATCCCCGGTGATGGGCGCAGACCAAGGGTAGCCTTGTCTTGGCCTGGTCCCCACAGCTGTGGGCACACACAGAGAACCCTCTCTAAGGCTGGGCTCCCAGAGGATCAGGAAGAGGGTGTCAGACGCAGGATCACGAGGGCCCGTGGCTGGGCCTGGCAGGCGCTGGCGGTGGCGCAGCAGCAAGTTGGGACGAGGAGAGCTGGGACCCGGCCCAGCCAAGCCTCCCTGTTGGAGGCGAGCTGTCTGCTCCTGGAACCTCCGCGGGGGCTCCCTCTGCAGAGGAGGAAGGATAGGAGGTTTGGCTTCAAGCTAATATGGGTCTAGATGCTCTCTGATCCCATCAGTGGCCCTGGTGAGACAGGACACCCGGGTCTCAGAGACACTGGCACAACTTTCGAAGGGACAGCGATGAGCCTGGGTCTCGGAACTCTGGATGATGGCCTCCTGCGTGCTTCCGCCTCACGCTGCTGACGTTAAAGCCTTCCCTGGAAATGGAGTGGTGAGGATAGACACGCGGACTCTGTGAGAATGGCTGGCCGGTACAGTCACTCCTTTTTCCATGTTGGGCACGAGTCTCCCGTCAGCTGTGGGTGGAGGTTGTGTCTGGACCTTGGGGTCAGGTCAAGTCCTGCCTGTGACATTCAGTAAGCGGTTGCCTAGATGAAGGAACTTGTTCACCCACATTTGTTTCCTCATTTGGCAAATGGGGAGACTAATAGTGTTACTTCATGTAGTTGTGAAGATTCCAATGAGACAGTGTCCATACGCCTAGCTTTTAGCCTTACTTGGTGTCATCGTCGACGGGTGGTGGCAAACGGAGTCAGTAGGCACGTCCAACAGTTCTCAATACCCTGGCCTCTGCCTGATCCCTGCAGAAACCGGGACTGGGAAGGAAACTCGGTTCTTAACCCATTTCCACCCTCCCTCACGCGGAGCGCCCTCTGCATTTTATCATTATCGTGGGGCATTCTGACAGAGCGCCAGAATGATCTGTCCTCACGCCTTCCCTAAAGAAGCCTCCCCTTTCTTGCGTTTGGGGATCCCCTCAGGAACCAGGACTGTTTCTCTCCTCTGATCCTAACCATCCAGCAAAGGAGAGTCACGCTGGTTGACCAGACCCAGGAGGGGACACGGTTGTCCTTCCCATCTTTTTGCAGTGCCTGGAAGCAGGTAGGCAGTAGGTCATGTGCTGGAGGGTGTTACTAATGACGTCAGCAGTGCTGGGCCTCCAGACCACCTGTGCCAGCAGGACATGGGATGAGGCCGGGAAAGGGGTCCCACAGCCACTCCCTGTCCCTGGCGTGCAGTGCCCCGCTGTAGCCGGGCTGGGTGCCACGTTCTGAGCTGATACCAGACCTGACATGGCACCTTCTCTGTGCAAGGCAGCCCTTGGGTGGTGCGGGCTGCTGATTTCCCTGGCAGTGGTGCCTGGTGGGTGGAATGCCATCTCTGGGCAGGTTCTTGCGGTTCCCCCCAACCCCGGGGGAGCAGAAAGGGCACTGAACTCCAAGGTGCAAGCCCTTGGTTCTAGTCTCACCTCTGCCCTGTCAACCCAAGTGGCCTTGGGCAGGTCATTTCCCCTTTCTAAGTTTTGCCTCCTTTGCCTGAAAAACGAGGGCGCACACCAGGGGATTTTTAAAGCCCCTTCCAAGGCTGCTGGTTTGTGGTTCAGCTCTGGCGGACCCTGCTGACAGGGGGCACTGTGCTCTGAGCCCGGGGGGAGGGCTTCCGCCCTCTGTTCCTCCACACTCTCCAACGCAGGGGCTTCCCTCTGCTGAGGCCTAGGGAGCTGGTCCCTGCCATGGCTCACATGGGCAAGGGAACCCCAGAAAGCCTCCACCCAGTCAGAGAGGAGGGAAAAAAGCACCTCCCGTACTAGAAGGGGCTAGATTCTAATGCCATACAGGCGCCAGAGGCTCAAGGGCAAGGCTCGGCAAACTGTGGCCTTGGCCAAATCCAGCCTGTTTTGTTTGTTTATTTATTTATTTACCTTATTTTAAAAGATTTTTTTATTTATCGATGGGGAGAGAAACATTCGTTTGTTGTTTCACTTATTCATGAATTCATCGGTTGACTCCTGTAGGG